TGAGAGTCTCAGGTTTTATGCCGCTCAGCGCGACAACGATTTCTTTCTATGATAGGTTGTCTCTCGTTTCTTATTGATTTGGCATTCTTGAGTGTCTGTTCGATTTCTTTGGTATTGGAGTAGAAAGCAACAGATGGAAGCTGAAAGCTTCCATATCTTATGAACACCCGTCATGGATAATTCTTTATTACTTTGCGTGCGTTAAAAACTCGACAGCCAGTATTTTGGCGAATTCAGAAAAATTGGTATTTATCGAACAGCTCATTTGTATGGCTGTAAAGTAAGTAAACGTTTTAACAAAGTTGATAGGTTTTCATGTATCGAATCGTAGTATCGAATGTCGTGTCTTGAAGCGTATTAATAAGATCAGTTGTGTTCGCAGACGCAGTAGGACAGCAGTATTCCAAGATTTCGCACGTATATGAAAAAAAAACATATGATACCATTCAGTTCGCGGTCACAGCATTACTTATCAACTACAAATGTCGTTTTGAACGGTAACTTCTAGGAAAATTAATGGCTTAGTACCTGAAGTGCCACAGGTTTGAGATCGAAAGCTCAGCGATTGTAAAGAATTTCACGGTTTAGTGTCATCCGCCCTTGATACAGGGTTTTTTGATCATAGAAAGTTGCATATCCAGACAATTGCGTTATAGTCAATAAGGCGACGATGTTAACGTGTTCAGCTGCTTAGATAGTAACAGCCTCCTTTCATAGATGATGAATGAGAAATGTCATTACTAAATTACGAAATGTGAAATGTCTCCGTTCACAGAGACGACCACATTACATATTGCCACTCAGCATCTTCGTGGTGCTGGATATTCAACTACAGTTATGCTATTTTCTCTTCTCTGTTACAGTCAATCGGTCAGTTTCCATGACCGCTTATCCAATCGCGTTGCGGGGCTAGATGCGTCATGCAGTGTCTCTAATGTTCCCGAACTCGTGCCAGCGTTTCTACTCTGGAATAAAACGAGTCTCGTCTAGAGTCTCATCCTTCGAAACACTTGTCCGAGGTTATTGTTGGCCGTCTTAAGGCTCTTTGGATGGTATGTTGAACAAGTAGTATCTAATTCTTCTTCCTTTCTGGAAGCATTCCCAAGACATGCCCAGATCATCACAACTGTGATTTCTTAATCTTGAGAAACAGCGGCTTTACACCAGCCTTTTCACCAGCGGCTTTGCACTCTGGGTCATGTCGGGATGCATGAGCCCACCGATTGCCTAAGTCCATTCCAGCCGATTGTACCCGGGATCAAAGCTTCTCAGCCGTGGCCCACCCCTCATGACTATACTTGAGCACTAGAATGAATATCGACTTGAACCAAGACAGCTTAATCCTCAGAATCACGTCTGCCTTAGTTACAACGGTTTTGGAGTAATTCGCCCGGAACGCCACTGGCGACTCAGAGCCATCGGTCGATTTCTTCCTCAAATTTTCCATCATCACTAAACACTTCCCGAGGTAATTGTACTTCTACATCTGCTCCACTGCTTCCCCGCCTATCTGAAGAGAGCAACGGATAGGAGAATGAGAAAGTACTAGGCTTTTCTTTTCAGATTTGTTAACATGCACGCCGGCCACTTCGCACTCGGCTGCGAACCTTTCCAGAGAGTGCTGGTGATCCAGAGTGTTCACAAGATGCCAACAGAACAAGATCGTCTGCAAACAACAACCTTCTCGTCTCGACATCTCCTACTTTATGCACTCATCACCTTGGTTCTGCCCGAGTATCCTGTTCATGTAGAACAGAAAACAGAAGGGACAAAACGCAGATTTGTCGGAGACCAGTGCCAACAGTGAAACGTCATTTACACCAATAACTCAATGCCATTTACTCTGATGCGGCACCTGCTATCGGCATATAGTGATTGAATGGCCGTTGCATCTGGTCATCAATTCCATATATTTAAAGGCATTCCTGTAGATTGTTGCACGGGATCCGGTCAGTGGCTTTCTTCATGTCCACAAAGGTACGTGAACCGCACGAATGAACTCCCATGGTTTTTCAACCATCTGGCTTATGGCGAACGTTTGTTCAGAGATTCTTCGGTCTGACCTGAAGCTACACTGCTGTTCTTCCATCTTGGGCTCAACAATTCCACAGCAACTTCTTTACAAGATCTTTGCGTAGACTTTTCCCGGGAGACTGAATAAGGTAATGCCTATTTGATTGGAGCAATCCATATGATGTTCCTTCTTCGACAGAGATAGTACCATCCCACACTTCTCCACAGCACCGGTGTATTGCCGCTGTCACTGCAGTTTGACAGAAGCGCATTTGCCTGCATATGCGTTTTTTGCCCCAAACTTTCAGCATCTCAGGACGGATTTCATCGATTCTAGCAGCCGTTCCAGTTTTAGTTTTTAACGGCTTCTGCGACATAATCTGCTCTGAGAGTCAGACAAGTCTTCCTGCAATTGCACAGAGTTAAGAAGTTCCTCAAAGTTGCAGAAGTATGTCGTCTTCCTTGGTTATGAGGGCGTCTAGATTTGTCCTTCAGGGCTCTTAGACTGCTCTTCCTTCCATCCCGTACTTTGTCAGTCGTCTTTAAATTCGACTCCTACGTCTCACCAAAGAAGTTTCATTGTATTCGAGTTGATGGCTCTCTTTCTGAGCGGCCTCTTGAATACCACCTTCTCGCTGAATGCCAGTTGAACCTCTCGTGTTCAGTAGGAAGTTTATTTCTGGCCTCCAGGCGGCAGACCATCCAGTTTGAAACCACAGCGTTCGCCATCTGCCACAAATAAGCTACTCTAAAGGGCTTCCTCATCAGCGGTCATCACCGGAATCTGTTCAATCCGTCATCCGATGTTGTTTGCAAATTTCGCTTTCGTATCCGCCGAAGGTAATGTTTCCCATTTGATTCTCCGGTTGCTTCTGCCAACAGATCTTCGTATGGTACTCCATTTCTTACCTCGCAGCGTGCCAACAACAAGGTGATGATCGGTTGATAGCTCTGCGCCTCTTTTAACGCGAACATCCATTAATGAGCGTCG